AGATGAGCCACATGCGTAGGTTCCAGGTGCATCTTCCAACGGGAATTGCAGTGCATTTGTCTGTTTATGCTGTAAACATTTGCTATAGGCTTTTCCGTGTGCCAGGCAGCGTAAACAGATACAGAGGCCACGCTGCTTTTCTGCATGTCTGTGCTTAAGGTATATGCTGGTCAAACAGTGTTTTGCTTATAATTTGCCTTTAAGTAATGGGCATGTTAATTGCTTGAAATTTAACAGTAAAAACAGCAGGTCATAATGGCTTAAGAGGACTTCTTTCAGGCACGTTTTAACTCATTCCAGCTTTGTGGCAATGAATTGGGAAATAATGCATTTGTCAATTATTGTCTGGGTGAAAAGGGGCATTGTATTTCAGCGTAATAAAATAATAAATGCACTGAGACAAAATAAAATGTCGTCTTCTTCGTGCATAATACAATGGTTGATTCCCTACGTTACGATGACAGTGTCTTACTGCCAACACAGTGTAAACCCCCGCTTCTGCCTACCCCTACCTCGTAAGGTAACAGGGGTTAGGGAAGGCCTGTGATTCCCTTCGCAGCAAATGGGAAGCAGAAGATTTGCCCACGGACTTGTGGTGCTAATGCGAAGCTGCTTTTTGTAGATGACTAAATGCAACCTCTGCAAGGATTGAGGTTCATCCGTCACTACTTCAACAGTTGTGTAATACGATTTGTAACTCCGGCGGTATTGCTTAGCCCTGCAACGCAAGGCAGATTTTCATTCCCCCCCAAGATTATTTAGCTGTTTTGTTAATGGAAAAAGCAGCACAGGTTCTGTATAATTAATTAGATGGGTTTCTTCGGAGTTCTTTTCTGATTGTTTACATCTAGTGAGAAATCTGACCTGTGAAAATAGCGAGAGCATTTGTACTTGTGCCTTTTCTCTGTTTACCTGTCAATGCCAAACTCATATGTGGAGCTGCAAAATTATAATTACTAGATGGCATGCCCCTGTTCCTTTTCCTGTTTCCCTGTGCCAATAGCATAGCTGGCAGATCCCGGACCACGTCAAGCCACTGCCTCTTGCACGCAGTGCCTGAGAGCAAGGAAGAGGCCATGTTTCTGTGCTGTGAATGTAGCAAGGGAATGGAGGAAAGAGCGAGTCTTGTTCTGACTGTATGAGGTTGTGTTTGTCCGCTTGTCTCGTGGTTGTATTGCAAATAAATATGAGAGTAGGGTTTTACAGAGGTCCAGCAAGCAAGGGTTTTTTTCCTCTCTCAATTATTATTATTTTTTTCTTTTTAAACATTCCTTGGTTTTTAGGTAAGTTTTCCTCCAGCTTTACGGGTCCTTTTCTCTTCCCCATCCGCACAAAGGGCACACTGAGCTCAGCTACACAGCAGTGGCTGCACAGAATTGGGTTTTATTTTCTAACACTTGCTTTTGGCTTTGATGTTGTATTAGCACAGAAGCGTGTTCATGTGCATGAGAGAAATGCAACAGATACTGCGTAGCCCAAGAGAGAAGGTACTAGCTGCCTTATGTTCATCTTCGGAGGAGTTGTTCAAGCCCGTACCTTAAATACCAGCGTTGCTTGTTACTTGCATTCACCCTCAGCCCAGCTCCTCTGGAGGAAAGCGGTACGGAATTAAGCCGATAGTTCCAGTAGCACCAAATTTACTACTTTGTTTCTTCCTTCCTGTGTGTGACAATTCAGCTCTTTCAGGAGGGGAGCTGGGCAGTACGAGTCCATTCGTGGGACTCGCATAGCTCTCATGCTGGAAATACATTTATTTCCTTCCCTTTCATGCCCTCCCCACCAGCCTGTAACATAAAAAAACCCTCGTTAAAGCGTATATTACATTCTTTTAAACTGCTGACTGAAAAAAAATGTTCTTTCACTGTTCCTACACGGCATATATTCTCATTTAAAACAGCAATATATTTGTGAAGAGGAAGGGGGGATCTCCCCGTGTCCTAGATCTCCCAGCACGATGGTTACACTCATGTGAAAATACACTAGAGAATATTCTGTGTATATGTCTGTATGCATGTGTTTCTGTGCATGTTACACTAATTGCTTTTGACGTTCTGGTATACATGGTGGCTTTGGAAGGCAAAATGTTTATATCACACATTAACACTTCCCAAATGTAAAGATGCTTCTCTGTGGGACTTCTGAGGATTTCTGCATTGACATCAGTTGGCTTTGATTTAACATAGTTATGACTATGTGAAAATTGCATGACAAACGTGTGTGGTAGAAAATGCCCTCAAATTCAGGGGTGCGTATAGCTGTGCTGCATGTGCTTGTGTGTATATGGCCAGAAAGTTAGAGTAACTTTTTTTTAAAAGGCTTTCAAGTATCATTAGGCATGCATTTCAGGTTGGCTTTTGCTCATTCTCAAGATAGTGTATTCTTCAAAATTGTTTTAAGTGTAAACAATATTAGTAAATCCTTTTCTTTGCAAGATGTTTTATATTTCACATTCAAATTACCAAAACCCACAAGTTATAGGTCAAGGTGGGTAAATATTTGTCTTCATTCTTATCCGTTTTCCACACCAGAGGATTTTGCGACTGAAAATTGTGTTTATTTTTTGTTTTAATCCATAGCAATAGGGGAATGTTCTGAATCTTATGAAGAAAGAATCTGGGAAAGCAAATGGTGGAAAAACTGCTCTTAGAGCTTGCCAATCCCTACTACGACGCTTTCTACAAGACTGACTGGAGAGGTGGTTCCTCTCTTAGAAAGCTTAACAGTTGGCTTCATCTGCCAACTGCTTAGCAGCTTTTTCCAGGAAAAACATATTTCTTGTGGGTAAACTGTAAAAGGAGCGCACTTAATATAGCAGTCCATTTTCTGTTTCTGATCAGTTTTGAGACAAAGGTCCAGAACCATTTGTTTTAAAGACACATCTAATCTCCCTCCCCTTTTCTCCTTCCGCAGCATTCAGGGACTAGCACAGCAAAGCTTGCGTAGATAGTACCAAGTATTAGTGAAAGCATTTCCATAATCTTGCTCAGGGAAAAGATTCTTGAAAAGTTAAAGTTTTTTCTGCGAGTTATGTTTATTTTATATAGTTGTCCATTTTTTGTGTATGAAATTAAAGATGTTTTTTCTGTGCAAGAGGAGGATCAAAAGCTCGCTGAGCCAGACAACAAAACCAGTGAGCAGAGGGGTGGTCAAATGTGCTTTTTAGGAAAAGCAACAAGTCATCTTTATGCTTTTATTTGTGTATTTTACAGTTTGGCATACGTGGGGTAGCAGGGTGGATACACTTAGCTAATTGTTTGACATCTAGATAAATACCTCCGTTATTTGGCCATGGAATTTTAGAGAGCAGGATCACTCTGAATTTTCATTCTGACAAACAAATTCTTCAGAGACCCGTGTAACCAGCTGGAGTTAATCAGACTGTACACGTGTGAGCAATATGTAGCAAATTAATGTAAACCAAATGAGTTTCCTATGTGCTTGTTTTCCAAAAGGAAACAATCTTCATAATTATTCATATTATTTTACTTTTCATCTCTGGGTTCTAGCTCTTCATCAGTCAAGAATACTGGGAGGTGGGTTGGTAGAAGTAGCATTTCTTTGTGCTCCAATGGCTTTTTA